TAAGCGATAATTTTTTTTGAGGATTATTAATTCATTTTAATCGTAAAAATTTTTGAATTAATCTGTAGCAAAAAGGAAACTCAGAAAACCATTTCTATCAGTGAATTAATATTCGTTGCTTTTAATCATTTTTTGTTAATTAACGTTTTTTTAATAAAATCAGCATATTTTCCCTCATATAATAAGTATATATGTAGCTTTACTACTGTTACAACTATTAAATTTATTGCTTAACTTCAAAATGTAATAAAATTGTTAAGAAAGACAAAATATTGTCTATATTTATCAAAAAATATTTTTTTGCTAGCTCAAAAATTTTGTTAACTTGCAAAAAAAAAAACATGACAAATTTAAAATTTTACACAAAACTTTACATCCAAGTATTGTGAATAGAAAAAACATCTATAATTATGCAAATTTCTACCGAATAGATCTTAAAAAATATAGAAGTGCGATAATTTTAAACTGACAATGGCAACTGCAAATGGTGCTGGTGGTTCTAAAAGTACTTCACGAGCTTTGACCGCGAAACCTCGGTGCTTCATATGCAATTCTCCATCAGACATCTGCAAATATTGATTGCAAAAGAATAATAATAGTCATTTGTAGAACATCTACTAGCAGTATATTAGGATATAAAATAACGTATTGGTCTACCAAATTAATTAAAGTTATGTACAAATTTAGAGATCAAATTATCACTTTTCGTTTATTTATTAGTATTAATAAAGATACTGAAGTGATTTCTAGCAACAACCTGACTCTAATTTAAGAAATACTATTTTCTGAATAATTATTATATTTTGACTAATTACCACATTCCAAACTATATATGTGAAATAATTATATCCGTCGAAGTAATTATCGTATCCAAAATATTCATTATCTTTATTAAAGACCACACTTCAAGTAAACATGTTAGACACAGAGTAATATCTCAAATAATAATAAGAAATAAATTTGGGAGAATTCCAAAAATACTTTATCTCATCAAATTCGAGAATTTTACATTCTGCTCTAAATAATGCAGAATATCACTGCTTGGCAGTAATTTTTTACTGATTCCTACTGGGTAAAAGAAGGTACCAAATTTAGCACCACAGATAAACCCCATAATTGATTCCACCACAGCATGATAAGTTTTGCATAAATTAATTGAATACCACTTAATACAATTTTAGCTCATTGTTATTAAAAAACGATTAGATTTTATTCATTTTTTTGTTCAAGCCTTCGAAATGACTAAATTATCTCTGATAAGAACTTCAATTTTTGCATAATTTTTATCATATTTAAACGAAAACAAAAATATTGGCAATCATTTTCAAGGAAAACTGGAATAATAATAATAATATTAATATTAATAATAATAATAATAATAATAAATGAGTAAAATTAGACTAAGAAAATTCATGATACAAAAAAGAAAATATTCTGAAGTACCAAAAACAATTTACGTGAATGAAATTCAATTAGACAGATGGATGCATGTGGAATATAACTGAAAGAGATAAAACAGAACTTAAAAAACTCAGCCTGATTGCTCATTTTCCACTTTTACTAATTAAATTTAGCCAAAAGCTTTGCATTTAATCTGACCAAATTGTTAGCTAACTAATTTTCAATGCTAAATTTTCATTGCTTTCATTTTGTATTTTCAGTTTTATTTTTGACTTAGCTGAATAGATTCATTTGGTTTATTTTATATGCTAATTTTGAATGCAAATAATTGCAAACAAAAAATAAAAAATACGACAAATAAATAAAAACTAAAATGTATAAAATAAAATATTTGACAAAATCAATTTTATTATATTAATTATTTTACCTATTCATTGACGTAAATGTCATTCAGCATACAATTTTTTGTCAGTATTAAGTATTAAGCCTAATTGAATAAAGTGCTCGTCTACGACTACGTCAAAATTACTTCTGTCATAGAATATATACAAAGGATAATTGAATGTAAGTACGGCTTCATTCTAACAGATTAATCTAATTTTCAACTTGTAGCAGTAAAGTTTCTTTAAATTTGCATATCATTTCACTAGGCTAAAATGAATTGTTTGCACATTGCATTACACTATATCAATATTTGCGCTATAATTATATTTTCTTCATGTAAATCAAAGCGCAAATTAGATGTTAATTCTAAGTATGCTGCGAAGGAAATATATTTTCAAATATGAGTATATTTTTTATTATACATAAAAACGTCAAAATTATCAGAAAAGTATAACGTTTCAATTTGTAATTATTTACGTCAAAAATTTTTTTTAATTTGCATACTACTTTTAATTCATTGTATAGTTTTTGTGGGTTTAATGAATAATTGAATCATATTTGATTCATTTAGCAAGTCAAAAATGATCAAATTTTTGAGCTAAAATTGTGCAAATATCAGCCAAGAAAAAGTAGATCAAAATTTTAACGAGATGAAATTGGAATATGTAATTTTTTAATCTCTGTAAGTTTATAAGTAATCTATGCTTAAATGCAATACAATACATATTTTACTGATTAATTTATAAGTTCGCAACAAATTTCATGAAAGATACGTATTTTTTTGTATGAAATTGTTCAATTAATAATTACGTAAAAAACATTTTGTATTAAATATTTTAATTATTGACTGATTTTTTTAATATTTTGCAAATAAAAATGCATTATTGTAGAAAATGTAATTCACTTATTAAATGCATAATCCGAAAGCGGTTGAAACATGAACTATAGGTTTTTGCTTTTAGATGCTGAAAATGAGTTTGCTACTACTTTTGATAGAAAAAAAATTCCATTGAATAATCATACAATAACAAATTTTAGAGTTATATGTACAATTCTTCGAAACTCAACACGTAATAAACGTAAAAAAATTCTGTGATTATAGTCAGTCATTTTCACGTATTTGTAATTATTATCCGAAATTAATTAATATATTTTTTGTTTATTAGTTATCAATTGATTTGAAACTCAGACGGATATTCATGCTTGAAAAATGCATCAATAAATATTGATATTTGCTATATTTTGTAGAAAATGTATCGTTCCCACAACACGCTTTTCAGAAAAAGAGCTGGAAGTAGTAAGTTTGATCAGATCACTCCTTTTTTTATTATTTAAAAAGATTAATAATATCTGGAAAGTAAAACCACCAATTTTTATTTAAAATCACAAATTCATTTGAAATCATATTAAATAATATAAATTGAGTATTTTTCAAACTACAGGTATATTCAATTCACATTTTATAAAGAGTATTATTAACATTACTTTCTTGATAATCTAATGACTGTCAAGAACTCATTCAGTTCTAATTTGGTAAATCATTCTCGTCTCGTTTCAACGTAGCAAAGTTTTTTCTTAGCACTTACTTATTTTTCATATATTTATCCTATACTTCAAGTGAATAAATTATTGCACAATACTTTTAACTTTTCAAAATTTTCAACTTCTACAGACAAAAACTACACATTTGCTATTTTTGAAAAAAAAAGATTAATTTATTAAATGAAAAATAACCGGCAGGTCGTGTGAGACAAGAAGTTGGATATGGAAATGATTTTCCACAATATTTACTTGAACGAAAGGATTTTGAATATTATTGTGAAGCTGGAGAAATTGTAAGCTATATTCAATACTCAATTATCAAAAGATTTGAATTAAAAACTTAATATACAGTCAGTCAAGTAGAAATTCAATTCTAACAAAATGAAAACTTTCTGCTAGAAGCTAAAACTTGACACATTTAATCAAATTTTTGCAGCCTAAAATAAAATTAAGCAAAAGTTTAACTGTAATATTTGTACATTGCTCTGATTTGGAAAAATTCGATTTTGGTGATTGGATATATTCGATTAATCATAAAAAACTTAAGAGTAAAAAGCAATACTACGATTTACTTCGAGAAGAATTAAGCAAAAAAACACCTTATGTGGTAATATTTATTGAATGTTATTATTATTTTTGACTTAGTGTAAGTGAAAAGTCATAAAAAATAAAAGAAATAAAAGCAAGTAGACAAATAATTAAGCAGAAATTTTTGCATTTTACATGCATAGTAATTATAATTGTACAGAAGTATTTTAGACTTATTTGCGTGTAATGAATGAATAACTGTTACAATTTTTAATAAAGTAATTAAAGTAAGAGTTTTGCTCATGTAATAGTAATCTTATAATTAATACTAATCAAGTACTAGAATTGGAATTGTGTAGAATATAAAAGCTAGGATCACGTAACTCTATCATATAATTTTAAAGGGTAAAATATCAAAATAAAGACTTAAGGGCAGAACTGAAAAAACAAATTTCTTTTCCATATTTAGTAAACAGCAATAAATTCAGTGAAAAAATATTTTATTAATGCTTTTAGAGGCAATAAAAGATGTATTCTTAAATATTCATATTAATTAAAAAGTATATAATATTCAGTTAACATAATATGCTATAACTGGGAGTTTTTCAAAATTTGTTTCCAGCTTTCATAATGTTTTTTTGCAGTTCAAAAAATGTTTTAAATTGCAATTTTCTAATTTATTGCAATTTTCAAAATTCTTGGCATCATATTGCTAGACATGCTAATTACTATAATATTTTTAAAAAACAAAACTAAATTTAAAGTCAAACTCGCAAAGTTACTTTTTGCTTAGATAATTATTAAACTGTGTTATGCACACTTTCTAATTAAATGATCTACAAGTCAATAAAATCATCATTTTTCAAGATTTTAATTCATTTTTTACTCTTTAAAATGCGCTCATTTTTGTATTACTATTCTTGAACAACGATTTTATAGTAAGTTATAAGTTGTCAATACATGAATGCTTCATATTTTATGAATCTAAATTTTATAAATTTCATATTAGCTAATTTATATCAAATAGCAACTGTTTTAAATAATTTAGAATTACTTTTTCTAAATTAGTTTTGAAAATACTATGTTTGTAATACACTCTTAGCGCTTGCCACTCATAATAAAATTGGATATCTTAATTAAAAAAAATGGTTTTGCAGTTACAATTCGAAGTATACCGAACAGTTAAAAACGAAATAATTAAAGATCCACGAAATTCGCCATTCATTCCAGCAGCTGTAGAAATTCAAGAAGGTTATGAATATTTGCACGGCTACTTGACCCTTTACCCCGGATCGTCTCTTGGCATTAACATTAAAGCTTTTAACTATAAAGTAATATTACAATCGTTTCTAATCTTTTTTGTAATTCTGTATTTATTAAAATAAAACATAATAAAACCATTACTAGTTATTATATACAGTTTCTAAAATTGTTGCTTACAAAAATTTTTTTTCAACATTTTATCACATTCACCATTTTTTGATCTAAATTGTATTTTTAGTAAGCTATTTATTTTCTTAATTTGAGCATTTTTATGTTCAACTTAAAGCTATGATTTTGATTGATTTGTAATTATTTTATCAGTTGTTTTTATATTTTTGGAATAAAACTAAGCTAAGAATTTGCAACTCTTAATAACTAATAATTTTTTTGGTTCATTTAACGAAAAATTGCTATTTATGAAGACCTTTTTGTTTTTGAAGTTTTTTCATCAAAGTTTTATTCAAATTTTATTTTCAAACTTTCACTTTTTGACTTCAATTTTATTTTTTACTCGCTAATTACTGCATTTTTTTAATAAATTTTAGTGAAATCAACAGCTTATTTTCATATTTTGATTACTTTTGTCCATATAAGTTGTAATTTTGATAACTTACAACTTATATGAAAAAATTAACTATCAAACCTTTATTCGAAAATTTTAGTTAAATAGACTAAATGATGTAGATAATTACCAAACTTTTAAGCAACTAAACATAAACTGACACTGAAAAATAATTAATTAAATTGAAGATTTTAATTACTAAGCAATTATTAATTAAAGGTGTACGTGGTATCTACTGACAACGGTTTCACATCACTTGGCGTAAGAACATTTATGATCGGTGATGCTATTCTAGCCGTAGATGGCCAAGCTCAGACCACGTGCTCTGCTGTTTCTCAAGCAATTATGGGAGCTTTAAACCAAAAGCGATATGTAAATCTCTAAATCAATCATTTCTTGTAATAGCTATCTGTGTAAAATTATTTTTCTCAAGGCAATTTTTTGCCTTAGTAACACTTTTACTATATTTTTTTGTAACAGTTATAATTTTTGCGATAAGTTTAACTCTAATTGCAATCATCCAAAGACTGTTTAGCAAGAAATTCAATGATTAAAGTCAAAAAATAATCACAAAATTCTGACAATTAAATGCATACTCACTGCAGTTTATTATCTTCAAGTCCAATTTTATATTTAAATTCCTTAAGATCATTCCAATCAGTCGATAATGATTGGATCTAAACCTTCTTAGAACGAATCATAAAATTTCAGATTTTTCAAACACCTTTACTGAAGTAGCGAAAATTAAGAGTTATATTTCTAAAGAACTCTTATCTATCATCAAGCATGTTATCAGTGGAATATGAATTTCTAAATGATAACATACTGTGCAGTGTTATTTCGCTTAAACTAATAATCGTGAAAAAATGAAGCAAATATAATTTAGACTAGAATAATAGCACAATTTATGAATCAATTTTAGGTCACAACAGTTATTGAAAGACCAAAAACAATGGTGGCTGCTTATATTGTTCAAGGAGTAATCTCAGCTGAACGAACAAATTTGATTGATCCCAAGATGCCAGAAGATGTGATAGCAATTTGCAATGAGGAAGTGGAGCGCGTGAAAAAATCATCTCCAAAACATTTGAAAAGTATTTACGTAGACCAACGTGAAAACGATTTAAATCAGTTTAGTATTCTATTTATTACTTAACTTAACAACAATTGATCTTGTAATAGTGATTACTATGTTTAGTAAAGACTCAACAAATTTACTATCTAATAAGTAATACATATAAATTACAGTTGAGTAATATAATATATGACAAAATGAATTAGCAATAATTTAGGATTGATTTAATCACTTTAATTTAAAACTTTTTAAATAATTTGGAAATAATTTTAATAATTTTTTTTCAACAAAAAGTGCAAAAAAAGTGGAAATATCAAAACATGCAGAAGAAGTATTTATCGGAATGAATCCGATTAATCCGGCGTTGTTGAAAAAAGTTCATCGGCAACATTCAAACCAACAAGCGCTAGAACAAAGGCATGAATCTCAAATAAGGCAGTTTCAACAACAACAGACAACAGATTCTAGATGGGAATTCAGACGTACGTCATCAGCTTTACGTGCAGGCATTCAGTCTATTAGGTCAACGCTGAAATCAATCGGCAACAGGCAACATCAGGAAGAAGACAAGTGAAATGTATTTGAATTTAAGAAATTTTATTGTTTCTATGCAAAATAAATGATTCTTCAATGTTTGCTAAAAAGATTAGCCTGTTAATATCTTCAATTAACATATTAAAACAATTTGTAAAAAATAAACTAAAGTAATTTATAGTTATTGTTGTTAGCAGATGTTTCAGTTCTAAAATAAACACATGGTTAACAATTGCCTGAAAGGATATAGTGAGATCAAGTTTTGTAATATCTTTGTTTGCTTATAATATCAGCATGTTGATCAGTATTTTAATAACAATAAAAAACAACGGATGTTAATAAATGACAACCTTTTTGATTCCAACTTGAGTGTTAACGTGTGATAATTTTTAACTCATGTGATTATCCAAAGTTCACAGAAATTTAAACCAAACTTCAAAAATAATTTTAACTGAAACCTTGTAAATAAATAACGTTATGCTCTCAAAAAAATTTTAATATTTCAAATTTTATTTTTTTAATAAAATGCAAGGCAAAAGAATATGTCCATGTATTTGCCACCTGACTTAATCCAAACTTATCTACAAGATTTTAGAGAATTAGTTTTTCCACCTCTCAACTCGTCTTCTCAGTGTTAGTTTAAGTCCGATTTGCATTTTGGTACAAAACAATCCAACATACGCAGACTAAATTTTGTATTATTGACACACACTTTATTTGTTCGCATCATTTTTGCTAATTACACATTTTCAATCTAACTACTCTTCACATCTTATCTATTAATTGGATATTAATTTGAATGTACAAGCAATGTTTCTTTGATAAACATTTAAGACATATCCATTTCTGGTGTTTAGTTTGGTATATGATCTGAAGTAAAGGTCAGCTGATTATTTTTAAAGGGCTACTAAAGTGAGCACAAGAAATAAAATTATAAATTCAAAACAATTTAAATCATTTTGATTTGAAGTGCTTTCTCAGCTTATTTATATATTTTCCCGCAATAATGCGCGAAATAAACATGCTTATCTATCATTTGTATGTTTGTTTATGTTTGCAACGGATTATGAAGACACGCAAAGAGAATAAACATGCTTGTCACTGCTTGAAAAAACAATTAAAATTTCTGTGCAATTTTAGCAATGATTGCTATTTATCACTGCAAAAACTTGCCCTTAGAGAAGCTTTTTTAATCCCGAGAATTCATCAAAATATTATATATATATATGTATTAAAAATCAGTGATGAACTGATGCACATGATGAGGTCATTCTTCGTGATCAGTTCAAGTACTATCAAGTGACTGCGATTCATAGTATTCATAGTTTTGGATCAATTCTTGAAGAAGCTCTGCATGTTTCGATGCATAAGTGATGGCGTGAAGAATCGGCAAAAAAGGTACGATAACTTGATGGTTTTCAGGCGCAGGAGTCACTTGTAATGCAATTGGGCTGATTTCTTCACTTGCTCCTAAAAAGTTTGCATAATTTAGAAACAAAAAATTTTGTTGATTCTAAATGGAAAATCCTATCCTGCATAATTTTTTAATTCCGTTTAATAATTACGTTTTGTTTTTAAAGATTTTCTATCTTAAGCTCTAAACAGATTCTAAGTGTTTCTTTTTTTTAAAAAGAAATTAGGAAGCACTGGTGTCAACAAGATACCTTCTACTAGCGTTAGATCTTCTGGCGAATACGGATCGAATGAAACGGGCTTCACAATTGTCGGAAGCAGCTCCACTTTGCAATTCTTATCCAACTCACCAGTTATTTTCGAGCTGACCGCGACATCTTGCCCACAGTAACAATATGAATCGATCTAAACATTATTGAAATTAAGATCATATTTGATCAGATGATAAGCATATTTTATAACAGTATGAATCGATCTAAACATTATTGAAATTAAGATCATATTTGATCAGATGATAAGCATATTTTATAAATGATTTATATATTTCACGATCTATTAATCATACAAGCGTAATCATAATTTATAATTCACAGATAGATATCTGTAATTTTTCCAAGTTTGATAATAATTGTGAATTAATTTTGATGGACTCGTTGTTTTTTGTCCACATAATGTTCAAATTTTTTTAAACCAACTTTTAATTTCATTTTTATTATTGATCATTAATTAGCTGATTATGTGCACAATAAAATGAAATATACTGGAATCGCACTGGTAGGTGAAGGAGTTTCATCTTTTAAATGCAGTGCTTTACCCGGAGATTTAGTCGCTTTGATCTGCAATGAAGCAATGATGAATTCAATAAAACTTTTGAGTATTTCTTGAAAAAGTAAATATAATCACAAATTGATATTGATAAT